ACACAGCGAGGTCCTGAGACAGCCACAGCGAGGTCCCGAGCCCCACGCAGCAAGGTCCCGAGCCCGACGCAGCGAAGTCCCGAGCCCGACGCAGCGAGTCCTGAACCCCACGCAGCAAGTCCTGAGCCCGACGCAGCGAGGTCCTGAGACAGCCACAGCGAGGTCCTGAGACAGCCACAGCGAGGTCCCGAGACAGCCACAGGGAGGTCCCGAGCCTCACACAGCGAGTCCTGAGACAGCCACAGCGAGGTCCTGAGCCCACCACACGAGGTCCTGAGACAGCCACAGCGAGGTCCCGAGCCCGATGCAGCGAGGTCCCGAGCCCGCAGCGAGGTCCCAAGCCCGCAGCGAGGCCCTGAGCCCGACGCAGCGAGGTCCCGAGCCTGCAGCGAGGTTATTGATGCAGCTCTCAGTCAGAACGAGGATCGACTTCACTCCTTATCACGTGCCTTGGTTCAGTAACAGGAGTGCAGGCAAACGGTCTCACTCCCAAAGCGTATCATTTTACGCTCGGTGACAAATCATCGCTATATTACGCTTCCAGGCATCAACACGTCCCAATGTTACGAGATCGTAAAAATGAGGAAACATGAGAACCGTTTGGAATGAATCTACACATGTATGTTTTACTTAAATTATGGTTAGGGAAGGTTAGGGCTGGAATACATGGCTGGGACGTGTATGCTGCTGGATCTCATCCATAACTCGGTGTGTAGCATAAGAACGCAGAAGGTCACCTTAAGCGTTCCTCAGGAATGCCGCGGGACGTGACAAATCGTTGGGATGTCACGCCTCTGGAGTGAAGACGGACTGTCGCTCTTTTGAATGAAAAGCAAACTGAGATTGTGTTGTTTGATAGGCATGTCCCTCAGGACCAACTAGCCGCTCTATTTGGCCCTTGCCAGCTTCCTGACAATGGGAGCAATCTCCGTGTTTTCCTGGACAGTTCATTTAAGCTGGATAACAAGTGTCCTCAGTAATCTTTTACCAGCTGTGCCAAATCTCTGAAAAACCTATCCATGCTTTTGTGACTTCCACATTAGACTACTGCATTTCCCTTCACTCTGGTCTCCAATCCGTCCACCTTCATAGACTTCAGCTTGTTGCTGCGGCTAGTCTCCTAACTGGAAAATTTGCTTCCATTACTCCGGTTCTTGCTGACTTACATCGGCTACCCACCAATATTGTATTGATTTTGCTTACCTTTAATATTATAAATAACATTGCGCCCAGCTATCTCGCCGACCTTCTTAGC